GAGGACTTTCGTTGGACTCCCGCAGGACTCGAAAGCTCCACAGAAGTCCCACGGGAGTCTTCAGGAGTCCTGAGAAATCCCTTGAAAGTCCCACCTGACTCCTAGGAAAGTTCCTCCTGATCCTGCAGGACCTCGTGACAGGAGTCCCGTGGGAGTTTTGCCGGGAGTCTCGACTAGGGGCGGTATTTCACAGTGTTTAATATTTTGGCTATAATACCGTCATTTCTCAATGAAATCCAAAATGATCAGCGGAAAAAGCTCTGCAAAGTCAAATAAAATGAAAAGTTTTCTGAATATTTTGCGTTTTTTTGTGGTTGACTGCATATGAAAGTATCCTATAATAATACCATTTTGTCTTTTTTTATGTCATTTTTTTCTTAGAACTGAACTTTATTTTTTTTTATATTCAGGCGTTTTTCGTATTAAACAGATGTATAGATATATATAGTACTCGACCTCTACTATACAGGTATATAATCAAATTAAATTAATGTTGTGTAGTTATAATACACGACTCAAAACCAAAAAGTGGTGCGAGACTTTTGACGTGCACTGCAGTCCAACTAAATATCAATAGTGGCATTGTTAGATATGTAATCGAATGACTAATCTTTTTTTTCTTTATTTACTTCAAACAAGAGAGTAAATATCTTTTCGTTTCAGGTCTTCGTTTGGCGTCAATTATCATACCATTATTTATTTCTGTTTTACCATCAAATATTGATGATAAATCTTCTACTAATAATAAAGATTTAATATCTTACTCTCTCGAACGTATTCAGTGTCTTGTTCCGCTCTATTCAAATGAATTTCGTCAAATTTTACAAGTAATTCCTGAGTTACGTACAAAACTAGAGTCTTCCATCAAACGTCAACAACAACAAAAACAAGAGAATGAAACGAATCAACAACAACGTTCAACAGCACTAAATGGTGGAACAGGTACACAATATGGACATATTCAACTAGCACCCACTATTCAACTACGTATTGATTTTTCAAATTTTAAATCTTAAGTTTCTCTTCTTTTTTTTTTTGTTTTTCAATAAATTCTACATCTAGTCGTTTCTTTTCTTTTGTATGTGAGTGCGTATATGTTTCTGCCTCTCTGCAAGAGCTTTAATAATTATTGTTAACTGAAAAACAAACACTTTCATAATAACAGTGACCAATTACATAATTTATTTGTTAATTTTTATTTTTCGATGTCTACTTTCTTCAATATGTATTTTTTATCGTTGTTGAAGAAACAAATCATTTGTGCAGCAACAATTACTTTTTAGCATTAATCTCGTTGTCTTTGATCTGATGAACGTGTGTGTCTGCGCGCGCGTGTGTGTGTATGTGTGTGTGTGTGTGTGTGTGTGTATGTATGTGCACACTGTTTAAAATCAAATATTTGCTTTTTATTGTATATACTTTACTCTCTATTCGTGTTGTTAGGTATTTTTACATTTTGCTTTGATTCATTTTTGGCTACTGTTGTTGTTGTTGCTAGCGTGTCTTCTTTTTTTCAAAAGAAAATGAATTGTCTTCTATGTCCTTCGTTTTTTTTGCACATAATTAAAGAATCATTTAGATGTCTACTTTGGGAATTATAGAAACGTAAAAAAAGAAGAGAGTTAAAACAAAAAAAAACATTTTGCTGTTTTTTTACAAATATATATATACAGGGACAAAGAGAAATGAAAAAATATTAACAATGATTTCATAAAATATTAGTAACAAACATACAACAACAGCAACAACAATACCAAAAATCATGTACTATTATGCATTGCTTCACTTTTTATAACGATAGGACATAATTGGAAAGTAACCTACAACATTTTTTCCACGATAATTTGTCTAGAATAGAATAAAAAAGTAATAATAAAAAATTTTATTTCTCCAAAGTTGATACACATTATATATAATGCATTATTTACCTTAGATACGACAGATGATGAATTTCCAGTATTTGTTGAATAATTTGAAAATGCTGATGCACCCGATATACGAGGTAAAAATGGTAATGGTCCGTTTTTTGTTAGAGAATAGTTCGTTGGAGATAAGGAATTTCCATTTGTGTATTTACTATGATTGTGATGATGACTGTGATTATGGTATGTTAGTTTATGTTTAGAATGTTTATCGTTGAATTGATGATGTATAGGAGATTTTTTAATGCTTGATTGTTGTGCATGTGTTTCAATTAATGATTGAGCTTTGGTTGGTGGGTGAATTAACTGAAAGAATTTAACACTAAATTGTTAATTACATTTGAATAAACTATATATTATAAACTCTACGACACTCATAGTTCCATTGATTCTCCTATTTAATAATCGCTACTATACTACTCAACCATATGATAATTTCCGTATATGGCGTGATGAAATATTTCAATAAAAATTCTTTTCGGATAATTAAGCGTTTAGTAAGCGTAAAATATTTCTACTTACTTTTGAAAAATCTGGCTTAAGTAGTTGCGTTGTTACTTCGGGTACATGTGAACGTGGAGAAATATTTTCTTCAATACTAGACGCTCGACTACTACTGGAATCAGACCTTGCATAATGATCTTCGCTTGTTTTTGTTACACGAATATTTCGTTCCCATGGATGATTCTTTCCATTTTGTTCTCGTTCTTCTAGACCTCTGAAAGTTTATACAAAAATATGAATGAAATTAAAATAATAAAATATATCACATTTCTACCTGATTGAATCGAAATAAGAATTGCGTAGTGCATATGTAGCCGATATTCTATTATCAGGATCATATGTGCATAATTGATTAATTAAATCTATTGTATCGGAAGAACAATGGGTTAGATGTCGAGCAATACCCAGACCACGACGCCAGGGAAAATTAAAATCAACTGCTGTATTTCGACTAAAAAAATACTATTAAATTAGAAAATGTTTAAATCAAGGATAGATACCTGACTTACTGTTGAAACTTTTCCAAAACAGGATGTGATGGTGTACCGAGTACTTCATGAATTTTATTTATTTGATCTATCTCGTTAGAACCCGGAAAGAGTGGTCTCAACCTGACAAAATTATTTAAAACGTTAACATATTAAAACTGACAACGTTCTCTAAGATTGTGAAGGTATGTTACTTTCTACTTACGTTATAATTTCAAACATTACACATCCACAACTCCAAATATCCATTGGATTTTGATAATATCCATCTGTTAATAGACATTCAGGCGCTCTATACCATCTTGTCGAGCTAAACAAAGAGAGAAACAGAAAATACTTTATAGATAAGAATTCATGCACTATTCTGACTTACATGTACTCTGTGAATGGTTGCTTTGATCCAATTTGCCGACAAGAACCAAAATCTGCTAATTTCAGTGTTTCTTCCTAAACACGAACAACAACGTCTGACATTCATTGATAGATAAATAAATTTTCTTACTTTAATTAAAATATTTTCTGGTTTAACATCACGATGAAAAAATCCATGTCTAAAAAGTTAGAAATTTTAGTTTGTCAAAAGTATGCGGACAAGGGAATGTATGAAAACTCTTACTTGTGCATATATTCAAGAGCTTTTAGAAGTTGGTACATAAATTTACACACCGTTTCATTGGATAGTGATCTCTGACGTCCTACAATAGAATGAGTTAAAAGATGAAGTGAAAGAGTTTACAGAAGTTAAATACCTCTAATATATTCGTAAAGATTCATAGTCATTAGTTCAAAAATAAGGCATAAACATCCAGATCTTTTGTCACTGTAAAATCAAAAAGAGAGACGAGAATGTGTTAAGATATTTTGTTAACGTCGAAATTATCATGCTTACAATATAATTTCACGTAAAAAAATGATATTCGGATGTCCATTGAGCTGTTTTAATACTCGAATTTCTCGAACTTGCTGAATTTCTTCCATACTTAAAATAATATTGATAAACGTTCTTCACGAATGAGAAACAGATCAATTTTACTATTAATATACCTTTTATACAATTGTTTCATTTTTTTACACGCCCAAAATGTTCCATCGCGCACATTTTGACATTTTAATACTTCAGAAAATGTTCCTTCTCCTTTTTTCCCAAGTATTCGATATTCTAAAAGCGAGAAATAGAGATGATCTTCTCCTTCTTCTTCTAAGTTCACTTACTTTCCATTTTACTATTTTTTTCTTAATGATAGATATGACGATCGAAGCATTCGAAGTAAAGAGAGAGGTAAGCAAAACAAAAAGACTGAAATTTATAACTGAAAAATTCAAGTGAATTATGATGACTGTGATAAATAATGATAAGTACTAAACATAACTAAGAAATTATTAGAATCAATGAATATATTAAGCAGATAGATGAATAATAGATTTAGATAAACTTTTAAACATAATCTGAAAATGAAATATGTATTAAATTGCATATATAGTGATGAATGATATTCTTATGAAGAAAAAAACGATAAACAAGCTACTCAATGGCTAACACACAACACATTCGAGGTAGATGTTCTGTGTTTTATACGATTGTCTTGTTTCGTTTCAAAATTCAAATTCAACAAAAAAGTGTTCTCTTAGCAAAAAAAAGTTTAACATCTTAGATGAACATTAAAAATACTCTTAATCTTCAATATATGTAAACAATTTCATTGTTCTCGTCGTCTATAAAATTTTCATTGTTAATGTTGTTTTGTATAAGCACTATATTAGATTTTTTTTACTTTAAAGCAGACACGAAAATATTACATTCTCTCTTTCTTGTTCTCTTGTCACTCTCTATCGTGTTTTGGGTTTTAGAGGAAATATGATCTGTAGACATATTCCACTGATGTCACTCAACAAATCTTAGATAAGTTCAATAGAACAAATATCGAACTCTCTTTCGAATCATCATACAAATACATTAATAGTTCGAAAATGTATATCTAACGACTAACATTCGTAATTTAAGAGAAAGTTTGTAAAATAGCCGACTTTTCTTGAGTTCATTTTGAAAGATGACATAAGAACACAAAACAATTCTGGAATTATAAGTTTCAGTATATTAAAACTTGTAATGGTAGAATCTTTATATGTATAGCAGTCTGTATAACTTTGTAACTTGGTCTTCTGACGATTTCTCTCTTAAACATTTTTTTGTTGGTAAAACAAGCGTGTCTCAGCGCGAAGGATTTTGCCCTACAGTACAGATAAGTGTTCACTGTGAATATAATGATAATTCTATCGAATTACATAGATAGATTATATTTTAATCTCTATCAGTCAGTTTCAGGAATTTCATCACCTGTTCGATATATCTTAGAAAAATATGCTATGAAAAATCTGAGAGAGAAAAAAATATTAGAAATTTCGATTCATGCATTCAGTTTAAATCCCTATGGTACAGTGTCTTACGTTTATATCTCAAGCAAAATAAATTTTTTCGGAGTAGTTTAATCTAGCTAAAAAGAAATATTTTATCTTGCTTAAAATTAGGTGGAACTAGCTGCAGTTAGATAAATGTTCTCTATTACCTAGGTTACGCTAGTTTCAGAAAATAATTTTTTCACTTGAATAAATCTGATAAATAGAGAATCTCTAGATTTAACTGTCAATTTAATAATAGAATAAGTATTTGTTTTCTCTAGTCTGTGATAATCTGCTTCGTTATTCATTAACTATATATTTTTTCCAATGTCACACAACACTTTTAAAAATGCATGTTTTAATTATTTTATGTGAAAAGAAGAGAAGAAAACAGAAATAATATGACAAAAAATGTTAAGAAGAGAAAAGTTCCATTAAAATGAAAAACATCAAAGCCAAAGAAATGTTCCTGTATTATAGACACTATGCAGTGTTTTTTGCGAATAAAATGTGACGAATTTTTTTTAAACGTTTTTCTAAAAATATATAAATATATTGAGTGTAACTAATGAATTCTTGAGTCTGTCAAGCTATTATTTCTAATTTTCGAAGCTTCTACCTAATCGATACAATGTCCCGTGTATTCGGATCATCAACGTATCGCCATTGGACGTTAATTAATTAAAAAGGGAAAATTAAAAAAGATTTTACCTATCTATCTACATAAATTTGTTTCCTACACGAGTATTTCTATTGCGATAAAAATTTTCTAATGTAAGTTAATTAAAATTGGATCAAGAGGGAGTTTATTCCTTAATATTCGCAAGAAAATATGTGAACATGTCCACTTAAATCAGCATTATCCACAAAGTTTACTGTTCTATCTCTAGAACATTTATCCTTTCAATATTGTTGACTTAAGATAAATGTACTTCTAACTTCACAAAGTTTCTTTTTAAAAAAATGCATGTCTTCTACCTTCAATATTTCTTTTTTCTTGGTTTTTGAAAAACTTATATCTTTTACGTGTACGAAGAACAAAAGTCTTGTGAATCTTTTGTTCAAGCTCACCATTACACTCTATAGTATTCAAGCACTCATCAACGACCAAGTTCAAAAACAGTAATCAAGAATTTTTTATCCACTTGAGTGAGCAAAAATTATAAACTATTATCGGATCTACAGATACAGTAGATGTTCGATAAATTAACCAAGCATTCTTATCTTTAACGATAATAAGTTCTTGTGTTTCTATAGTAATATCCTCTAATCCTTTTATGCAGAAAATGCATTCATAATTTATTTTATAATAGAGAATATTGTTGCTAAGATACGATTTCTTTCATGGTAGTACTGTCAATCTTGCATAGTTCGAAATTATTTAAATATTGTCTACCATTGTTAGACGAAAATGCTTCTACTAATGATTTTGGCTGATGTTGTTATCAATTTTTAATGTTCTGCAATGTTTTATATCTTACTACAAAAAATGTTTAGCACTAAAATATCGAATAGTTCTTCTGTAGATTTTATCCACTGAACTATGTCTGCTTTCTCAGACAAAGGAATCAATTTTGGGATCTCATCAGCATTGTCACGTTTGGAGATTTGTCTTATGCAAAAAGCTACCTCATTGAGTGCCTTCCTTTTCAAGAACTTTCTTCTAACTGTTTCCAAGAGGCTTTTCACTTTTTTATTACATTCACATTTCAATTTTCTCCATGGCATTGTACGACAAATAATGTGTTTTGTCTTGTCACTCTGTATAGGAAACAAGCATCCCTGGGTCTAATGTCCTCTATATTTTGATTTTCTGCAGGTGCTGTTCAGATGTTTCAACTTTCAGATTTATTTTCTACTATAATGTCTTTAAACGATATTGATTTAGACGACGATAAAAAGAGGTTAGTCCTCAACCTTTTTTTTATATATGCTATGATTTGAATATGATTGAATTTTAATCAATAGAGTGGATGAAGAATTCTACGGCGGAAAGAATAAACAACAATTCGACGCTAAGTAAGTAATAATCAAGTGTGCGAATAAAAAAATGAAAACAATGTGATCATTTTAAAATTAGTAAGATATACAATTTGAAGAAATTCTTTTTTTCCCATTAGAGGTGGCAAACTTTTATGGGACGTTGCACGTGATACAATGGCCGACAAAGACACGAGTACGTGCGCGTCGAGTGAAACTACATTTTGAATTTTGAATCTTGTTTTATTTTAGAAGAATCATTGCCGACCGATTTAAACGTTGTTCTCGTTGTTGGTAGTCGCAGTGGTGTTAGTATTTGATCAAACTCGTTCGGCTTTTGTTTGTCAGATGATCTCATTGGGTTTTTTAGGGGAAAACGTCAATGATTTTAAAGTATTTGGAACGGTATGCAAAGTGTAATTTATTTTCACATGGTTCTTTTTTAAATTATTTTATTTCTAATACAGAACGAACGAAACACCAAAATCAACAGCTGCACTTGAATACAATTATGCTAAAAAACCAAAAGGAATTGATACGGTAGTACAGTTTAATAAATTTTCTGCCTCTTTGAAATGCTCATATTATTTATTCAGATGGGCAAGGATGTTGGTCATGTGTGGGAGTTAGGCGATGGAACATTTCTTATCAAATTAATCGATGTTGTTATCACACCAGAAACTATTGAGTATATACACTCTTTTTTCATGTGAAATCAAACTGAAATATTTTCTTTTTTCATAGTAATGCATCTATTGTTCTTGTTCTTGATTTATCCCAACCCAAAGAGTTATATCATACATTTCAAACCGTTGTTGAGTATTTAATGAAGAGAATAAAAACTTGTATTAGTGACGCAGTAAAAAAGAATGCTGCCGTTAAAGATAAACTCAAAAAAGCATTCGAAAGACGATTAGGCGACTTTGTACGAAAAAACGAATCGTTTGTATGATTTGAAATATGTTATATTATTTTCTTTTTGTCTATTTAGGATAGAAATCAAATGGATCCAATGCGTATTCCGTTCTTAATTATCGGTTCAAAATATGATATATTTCAGGTAATACTATCTGTGTAATCATATCACGTTGAGTTCAAATGATCTAAACAGGATCGTAATACGATCATATTTTGATGACCATAATAAGATGATATTTATCTCATAAAAAAAATGGCTTGTTTGCACTTGTATTGCATAAGCACACGCATGTACCGCACATGGCCGCGGACCTGTTCATTAGATCCGCGATAATCTGTAGCAAAATGTTAACAAATTAATTACGCTCAAACAGTTTTTAAGTAAAAGTACAAGTCATTTCACGTTCAAGCATTTTACTTGTACTAAAGGATACAAAAATAACAAGTATCTAGTCCTTTGTTTGGATTTTTGATATATTCATGTTGGAATCCATATTTCCAGCAAAAGTTTAGAGCATTCTTGCCCTTCATGTTCATGTATTCGGTTATTTTAGACATTTCCACCTGAAGAAAAGAAAATTATTAGTAAAACTCTCCGATATCTGGCATGGTATTATGGAGCTACGCTGATAGTAAGATATTTTATATAGTAAGTTTTACAATAGTCAACAATTTGTTTTATAGTATTACAGTGAAAAACAAGAAGCAGTTGTTCATTTGAAATCAATGTTCAATCATTTCTTGTTCGATACCGAATTATCGAAGTATGGATGAACAATTCTAACAAATATAGAAGAATTCCTTTTTTCTATTTCAAACAGCAAACCTCCACAACTTGATTATAACAAGCCAATTTATGTCAAATGCGGAACGGATACATCAGATCAAATTGGTATGTTACATGGTTTTTTTTAGTGTTTTCTCTACAATTAAGATGTATCATTGTCTAGGACCTCCACCTATTCCTGAATATGAACTGGGAGATATTCGCGAAAAGTAGAGTAAACAAACCCATGTTTAACGTACTATTTTCACTATTTTTTTCTTCTTTCTGAATTGTAGATCACCAACAGCTGTATGGCGTGCTGCGTTTTGCAAACACTTTCCGCAAGAGGTCCATTTTATGTTTGTTACAAGCAAACTATTTAAACTTATCGAAGATAAAACATGACTTACAATTTATCTCTATTTAGGTTGAACAACGTGATCCAACCTTGTTAAAGGACTATGGAAATGATCCGCAGTACGCTGATCAAGCAGTAGATGCTATGAAAGAACAGAAGATGGCTGTAAGATATGACTAAAATAATTATTTTTAATTTATTTATTGCAACACCTTCTTTTAGGAGCTGCAAAGATATTTGACAATGAAATCAAGATCACGTTCTTGATACAATGAATGTTTTACACCCGAAGGATGTAGCACAAATAAAATAAGTGCATGTATCATTCTGCTATTAACGATTATGACGAAGAAAATGTGGCATGTATAGCAACATGATTAGAATATCTCTTATAGAGAAATCTATTTGCTATTTTTTTAATACATAACTGCTAATATATGGTACTTTTTTTTGTAAAGAGGTTGATTTTGTTGTTCATATAGTCATAACTGTGTTTAGTTTCAAAAATCATACAACACAGTGCTGTATATTATTTATATATATAAAGGCAATTCTGTTTGTCTCTATTTTACTTAAATTCTTATATTATTGACGATTTTATTTGATAATCAACTATAACAATAGATTAATTGCCTAATCAAAAACGCTCATTTAGTTTCAGGTCAAGATATGTTCTTGTTTACTCCATTAAGCTGCTTCAACACAATGTATTGTTTGAAAGGTTCTCATTAATTGAGCGAGTTTTTCTGTTTCTTCAATTGTAATACCATTGTACAATGAAACACGTAATCCACCAACTGCTCGATGTCCTTTTAATTCAATCATATTTAATCTTAATGCTTCTTCAAGAAACAATTTTTCTAATTTTTCATCTGGTACACCATTGATCGCTATTCGAAACGGAATGTTTACACGACTACGATATGACGGATTAATTTCACTAAGATAAAATCGATTTGATTGATCAATAGCACTATAGATTAGATCCGATTTTATTTTTGATTGTTTTTCCAATGCTTTTATACCACCTTGTCGTTTACTCCAATCAAACATTTTGTTTGATATGTAAATTGAAAATGTTGGTGGTGTATTGTACATTGAATTGTTGCTTAGTTGTACTTTAAAATCAAAATTAACCGGCGTACTCTTCATCGCATTACCAATAAGATCTTTTCGTACAATAACAAGTACTATTCCACTACAACCAAAATTTTTTTGACCACTAGCAAATATAATAGCAAACTAAACAAACAATAAATAACACTTTTACATGCTTTATTGATTAATTCTCACATTTCAGTTACCTTAGTCACATCTACTTGTCTTGTAAGAAAATTTGATGACATATCGCAAACAATTTGGGCTTTATTTGGTAAAACTGGTACATCATGAATTTCTACACCGTGAATTGTTTCATTAGCACAGTAATAAAAGTAAGATGCATCATCGGTTAAATTCCACGTAGTCTGCTCAGGAACATCTAAATTTAAAGATTAAAATTTAAACGTTATAGTTAAAATCTATAGATTAGTTACCATGATATTTTTCTTGTTTTGGAATAACGTAATTCACTTTTCCATATTTTTCCGCTTCTTTTGCTGCTTTTTCAGACCAATAGCCAGTTACTAAATAATCTGCTGTTTGAGAGGGTTTTAAATTTATTAAATTCATGGGAATAGCACTAAATTGTCCCGTGGCACCACCCTGTAAAAATAAAACCGCATAAGTATCTGGAATTGATCTAAACGGAGAAATAGTATATAATTTTCTATTTTACTCTGAGTTGTTGAGCAGAACTTACAATAATTCTCTGATATCCTTTTCAGCGTCATCGATTATTTTCGAAAATGCTGGTGAACGATGACTAAGCTCTAAAATAAAGTTTTACGTTGAATTAATAAAACATAAGTGTTTTTTTTTTTGTTTACTATATTTAGTTTCTTTTCATATACGACACTTTATCTACTACACAGGCTAAAAATATTAAGCTGACTTGTCATACTGACCCATAACATTAGAGCCACAGTTATCAAAACTAAAAAATTCCTTTTGTACATTGTGTAAAACCTGTGAAGGAAAAAAAGTCAAATTTCTTAAAATTTCTTCAGTGATTGTAGAACACATACTTCGATAGGTAACTGCGCTGGTCCGGGTCCAAAGTTGATTTTTCGAGGTGTATTATCGCACATTATGGTGTATTATAAATGGTATACTACAAAAAATATATGTTGATATAACTAATTGTTAAAGTCTATTGAATAATGATTTTGTAAATCAGAAATGTGAGACACGAAATTGTGTTTTTTTTATAAACTTTAAAATTTAAAAAAAATTAAAAATGAGAAATGAAGACCATATCACTGGAAAAAATTAAAGTTGGTTTTGAGTTGTTGAAAAGTGCTTTTTCGTATGCAGCACACTCGATTACGCAGAAGATTTTCTATTTTTGGCTCGGGGTACTGCCAAAAGTTTTTCTCCTGGGTTATCAAGCATGCTAAATACGAAAAACCACTTTTCAACAACTCAAGACCAACTTTATTTGTTTTGTTCCAGTGATATACGTTAAGCGGTGATAACGGTGTTAAAGGTCACTACGACCGGTTTCAAATTCTTCTTCAAATGTGAAATGAGAATTACATATAAGACAAACACGCATTTTTATGCGGAACGAGAGAGAGTGAAATAAAAAGAGATATGTTTTCTCTTTTCAGCGATATTAAGCTTCATGCAAATAATACGTATAGCTATATACATATTTCTTTTGTTTTGTCTACTACTTCTATATATATATATATATTTGCGTATGTTATGATGTAATGTTCTCATTCTTAACTTTTCATACCAGTATGTCATCAGATGTATATAAAAACAAGGCATGAATCTGTTAAAGATATATCAATATATAAAGAGTTGTATCTCTATATGTATTCTACTATGGAGATAAATAAATACCGAAACTTCTCAAAAGGGATACAAAGCTGTCCTAATTGATTTTGCAAGATCAAACAACATCAGAGGGGACATACAAAACTGAGTGTGAGTTTGCAAAACAAAGGTATCTCTTTTGAGATGTACACTGTTAAACATTTTTATGTGTAATAGTGTGAAAATATAATACAAACGATATATAACGAACAAAAGCTCATAAGACGTTTTATAGAATGATAATTTGTGACGAGGTTGAAGTATATAATACTTTATAGTGTACTATTGTCGCATATAATCGCTCTATAAAACGTCTAATGAGTTTTTGTTCGTTATATAACGTTTGTGCTATATTTTCACCCATTTTCACACTATTTCACGTAAAAATTGTTAACAGTGTAGCCATAAATACGTTTAGTAGAAAAAGATCGTCTTATTTGTATGAAGCCCCTACAAGAAAAGATATTTTATTTGGTTCTTTCTTCTTTCGGACAATAGTATTTATCAAGGTCGAAGAGTCACAAAATTAGACATTATATATACGCGAAAAAATGAAGAGAGATGATAATAAGAAACAGATGTACGTATGTGTATTGAGAACCCAATGAAAGTAGAAATTCATATTGTCGTAGTTTTTCGGTATTCAGAAATGTTTTTAGGATAAAGTACAGTCGTTTATGAAGATATCGAACACCCTAATTTACTATAATTTTTCCAGAAGTCTCAAAAATATTGTAGCTAGATTAGAAGTATGAATGAAAGATAAAGTTTTCGATGTGTGTCGTAAGTTTTTGAGATAATAAACAACTTTACTTTTAGAAAATGTGGTATGATACATCTAGGTGAGACTATACTTCCCTCCAAAAGCATGATTGATCTGAAATGTTTTTTCAATATCTATCTATAAGTTCTGGACTGAGAAAGATTGTAGAGGAAAGGTATACGCTGCAGTTTAAAATTCTTTCATAAAACCATAGTACCAGCGTGATGATTTCAGAATGTGGGGGACGTTTGCGAACGTATACTATGTTTCGACGGTCTGTTTTCACTTATAGTGGAGGTAGAAAAGATGGATTAATAAGTTAGATGTTCAACTGATATGGTTTCTCTAAGGTATCGTATTATTGTACTAGCTGATTTCAATTAGAATGTCTAACTCGTTGCCGAATTTGTACTGCGCAAAAAATTCTTGTTGGATTGTTATATGTAAATCACATATTAAATGAGATAGATGTGTGCCAATGTATTGTGGTGGATATTTATTGGTTAGTAAGCGGGTTCTAATTCGATTGAATTGACGCTAAATCGAGTTAGCATATTCAATACAGGATGAAATTGGGATATTTTGTTACAAATATTTGAGTAGCAGGTGTCCAATACATAGATGAAGCTTTCGGTACTATGTCTGAAACTGAATCATTTAGATACGAAATCGCCTTTCCTATATTGAAATATAACTTACGTTTGATATGTTTCTCTTGTGCATCCGGTCGTGCCAGTCATCGTTTGATATTCGGTCGTTCGGATACTCGTAAAAAAAGTATCGTCACGAAATTTCCCATATGACTTTCGCCTTCCGAACTGTTCTCACGTGAACGCATATTTAAATTATCAATCACATGTATGCATCTACGATGACTTGAGTGATTGCAAAAAAAGTCTTTCTTCATAACAGGAAATTTTTACACAAAAAAGGTTTCGTATATGTGGCACATTTTCACATATTCGAACATTATTTGGTATAGAAATTTTTAACACTGTTATCACTGCTCAATTCTCCATTTCTGATTTTTAATTTGTTTAACAGTTTGAAATATATATTAAACAATTTCGTTGGCCCTGTTTTCGAGCACACACACACGCACACTAGAAAAACGAAGGAGTAACACGAACGAGAAATTGTGTTGGTGTCACTGACGCAATTTCTTGTTACATTTCTGATTTACAAAATTATTAAATAGACTACTTTGTACGATCACTCGGTCATTGCGTGTTTGAAATATCAAAGCCATTTCCCTGTTGTACAAAAATGGATTTTTTTGTATTCTTTCTCTCGATGAAGATAACAGTGAAAAAAGAGAAGAAGAAGGAAGAAAAAAAGTATTACGTATGTAATGTTGATGTTCTTCGCAATCTGCTGCTCGAAAAGAAAAAAAAAGGTTATTACTGGGGCCTGCGATAAATAATCATCAAGGACAATAAAATACCCTTGAGACGAGTAGTGAAGACAAAGTACTTGCTGATGGAATTATTGACTTTTTAAAAGAGCGAGTAAAGTCACTAAAAAATACACTACTGTTAAAAAACGTTCTTACGCCCTCACAGGTTATTGTATATCTCCATCGAAAGTGACTGTTTCTCTCAAAAAAATGACCAAAGACCAAAACTCCGTTGGTTAGTACTCACTCGTATCCGTAAGTCGAATCAAACATACCTTCTAATTGGTTAAAGATTTATTCTTTATCCATAATCCACGAGAGATATCAGTTGACTCCTTGCCATTTTCAAGATTTTGAAAATCATTCAAAGTCAGGTCTCCAAAATATTGGAAACATGGAGAAACAGCACTCAACGTTTGGTATGAAACTTGTGCACACTCCATTATCGATACTGGTGCGTATCGGTGTCAGATTTTATTGTTCAATTACTGTTTTATTTTGGCAACGTCTATCTACATAAGTATCAATTCGTCCTTTCCTCTACGCAAGAGAAATGCCGTATGGCTGTAACATGGTAATGTGCAGAGGTGGATAAGTCCAAGTCCGGACTTGAAGCTTTTTTTGACGGACATGAACTTGACCCGGAGATTTTTTACCAAGTCGGTTTAAAGTTCAAGAAGTTAAAATTTATCACGTTCAACAGAAGTGGATGTAAACTATTATTAGCGCCAAACTCGGTTGTTGCTCAATACGATTTTTTACTTCAGAATAGTAAAAAACATTCTTGTACTTCGGAAGATTTCTAGAAAAACTTTTCAAAAACAAAAGTATTTTCTGTTGATTTTTAAAGCCTTTTTTTAACTGCATAGTATTGAGCAGGTAAAATAGAGTACATCTTGATATTCTAACATAATTTCTATGGATCTTAACTGGATTATAAATTTTTTAATTATACTCGAAAATAGGCAAAAATGGGTTATTCCACCTAATATAAGTTTTCGGAGGCTTTCTGTCAAACAGATATTGCCACGAGGTTTGGTGTGGTTAATTATCTATGTTTGCAATATTTTCGGAATTATTACGTCTAAAGAAATATTGATCCTGGGATAGAACTCTCAGGAAATCCGATGCCATGCAGAAACTTAAGAATTCGCTTAGTTCGCATTTTGGAGAGGATACTTTGGACTACCTATCAATGAAACAAACTGATAGATTACTATCTCAGTTTCCGGAGATCCGAGGTGCTTTTCCAAAGATCTTCTAGAAAACCGGTCTTCCGAATGGTTTCGAAAAAGGGTTTTACTTATGATAACATAGGTTAAACTGTCTTCTTTCGATTGATGAAAATCGCAAGTCTCTATCTTTTATTGTATTGGAGTTATTCGAAAAACAACCGGGCGCATTGAATTTTGGCGCTGATAGTAAGCAATAGTCATGTGCATCGGTGCGCAGTGAATTTTTGTATACGGTGGAGTCATCATCATTCTCAAACAGACAGACGAATTTTAAAACAAACGTTATAGAATCTTCCCTACTATCGGTTCTCGTAATGATTTTAATAGTATTAATCATGTGATACCAAAAAAATTTTACTTGAGTATCTGTAATTCTCTCCTATATTTCTATATAAAAATGTATTAGATAAGATCATGGAATATCTGTCAGTTTTTTCCTATTTAGTTCATTCAGCGTTTCCAGCTAGGCGGGGAAGTGGGGACCTCCCCACCCTAAATTTTGACACTGTCCGCCAAACTTTTGGAGTTTGGGTACTGCCTTCTTTTAAGTTCTTTATTGTTGAGTCAAACAAAGCCGAAAGGCTTTTTAGCACACTTCGTCGAGTGATAACATGGATACGAAATCGTATGGGAGACGTGACCCTCGAAACATATACCAAAGCTTTAAGTTTACAACTTCCATTAACTCCAGAAGCTACTGATTTTGTTATAAAAGATTTTATTTCTCATCCAGGTCTAACCAAAGAACGAAATATATCGTTATTTCTAGAGAATGACTTGGATAAATATTAAATATTGTTTTTGTTGAAAAAAATAAATTCTGATACGGTGTAACAAAAAGTATTTTCAATTAACAATTGTTTCACTTATTTAGGAATAAACTGTTCGCCGACTTTTTAAAAAGACTGGTCCCCAGAGAAATCTACCCACCCTGATTAAAAACAATCGGAAAGCCTGAGTTTATTAACAATTAAATGTGAAGTATTTGATTTTTCATGTATTGATGAAAACCAAATTGGTACATTTTTATTATACTCATGTGTCAAATTGTCAGATTGTATCTCAAACAGTAATGAAGTGGTGTCTTCAGGATAAAAAAAGAACTGATAGTTTTTATTTCGTTTCGATTGTTGATAATAAATACATAACACAAGTGGCAGATTACAAATTATTTAAATACTTACTGTTTGTAGAATGCACAAACCATGAACAAAAGCGATTGTACATACACTTGCATCAGTCCATTGTTATAAAAATAAGAAAATTGTGAGGAAGAGTCATTGGTTATACAAATATCTTCTGTAAAAAAAAAAAATAAATATTTTTAAAAAAATGATTTTCTAATTTTTAGTAAATTGTTCGTTGTTATTGTTTTTATCATAAAGTGAGTATAGTAAAAATATTAAAATAAGGCAATACATCAATGTATTCTGTTTAACCGGGCTATATATGGATAAATATTAATTAAAATGGTCGATATCACATTTAAACCATAATTCTTGCGCCTGGAACATAACGTGTTTCTTTCCAAAGATTTGTTTCTCCATAATTATTTAATTTTCTTTGACATTGTGCACAACGTTTATACTGATCACATTGTTCATGAACAAGAACACCTTGCGGAGCATAAACATGTATTTGTTCATCTAAATCACGTTTATGTTTTTCTTCAACAGCATTTGACCATTGATTTTCTAAATCTTTACGAATTGTATATGAACGAAGAAAACGATCACGACGATCTGATGAAAGACTAAAAATAAATAACAATAACTATATTTTATAAACAATAAAACTAACTAAATATACTCGTCTCTCATATTGTCCAATGCACGAGCTTCATGTTCTTGTTCTCGTAATTGTCTTAATAATTGTTCACGTTGACGTTGTTCAACAATCTCTTTTTGTTGTTTAAATATTTCCATAGCATTTTTTTTTCGTTCAATTAATTTATCTGTTGTCATGTCGTTTAAACCAAACATGGCACCATCAGGTTCAGAAATAGGTAAACCGGCTGGTTTTGTACGAACCTAAACATTGGTGATTGTTTATGTACATATTGATGAACAGTAATACAAGTATCAAATATACTTCTGTTTAGTCAATAAAAGTACCTGAGTATCTAAGGCACTCTTCATTTCTTCTTGGTGTAAACGTTTATTTTTAATGTACGTTTCTCTTTCATTGGCGAGTCTAACAAAAAAATATAAATAGAAGAGATGAGCAGGTAGAAAGATAGTTTTGTGAAACTCCTCTCCTGAACTCCAATATAGAGAGGACTAGAATATATCCCTTGCAGTAAACTAGAGGCATCAGTTATTCCATTTACTATCATCTGAAATCGCTATGAGGAGTTTCACATTTTAGCCCAGTTAGGAATTGTCCTGCCAAGGTTTTTTTTTGTATGATTTTTATACTGTTCAGCTAATTGTATCTGTTCCAATCTTTCTATAAAATCTTTGTCTTGTTTTCGACTTGTTTCCTCTTGTTGTTTCCATTTAATTTGTGCTTCAAGATGATTTGCTAAATCTTGTTGACGAATGTATGTTGGAGGCGTTTTTGCTCGTTTACGAAATACAAACGAGCGCTGAAAAAAAAAACTAATCGTCGTAAATTTATAACTGAAAAAAGAAAAATAGATTAGGTACCGGTATGTCTGTCGTATTTGGTCGTTCCATTTTTCGTACTCTTGCCGCTTCAGCTACTCCCAAATTGAATGCAGCAATTTTTTGTTTCTCTTCACGATCGGCTTTCATCTTTATCTGTTAAATATATGATCATAATGGTACCAAAACTGTCTTATTTAATTGTCTCAATATCAGCTTACTTCTCGTTGTTTGAACTCTTCCATATCTTGATTATGTTTATATTGTTGTAAAAGTTGTTCTTCTTCTGCTTCTCGAATTTTTTTTTCTTCTTGCATATAAACAGGTATATTTCGTTTTGCTCGTTGATGACACAGATAGCATAATTCTTGTCCAGCTCCATGATGACCACAGACCGGAGTTGAAGGTGTTGATGGTTTCGAATTATTTTGCTGTGAGATAATATTCAACGATGAGGATATACGTTCACGATTGAGTTTTGACGATGGTCTATAGTTGTAACCAGTCAATACACTCGCATCACTTGTGGTTCGAATAACGCCCGATGGTGAATGATGATGAGAAAGTCTACTACCATTGCTAAAAAATTTAAAAAGCAAGAATATCATAATCATTATTTCATGGAAGAACGTTTTTTCTAGCAAGTATAGAGAAAGCAAAAGTAGTAATCAATTTCTTTTTCTTCATCTTATTCGATTATGATTCTATAAAGCATCTAAAGCCTACTAATTTTTTATTTTATTGAGAAAATACTTAATTAATGTATTTAATTTTCCTCTGCGTGACATGATACAGCTATTAACGGATAAGACAGATCTTACTTTTAATTCATTTACCATTTTGTCTACTGAAAATCATAGATTGAGTTATGTAACTGCATAATTTTATAGTGAATATTTTCAGGCAAACAATCTTACGTTTCATGTTGTTGTTCATTATCGGCATTTATTGATTGTATTCGATGTTCATTCGACTGTCGCACAGCTGATGAAGAAGACGATGGGGAATTTTTCTTATTTGACTGAAGTAAATCTGCCGACGAAAACAATGAAGCAACTGGAATAACTGTTTCATGATTTGTCGAATTGGACATTGTTGGCTCTATTGTAACAAAAAGTAAATACATTAAATTTTAGCAATTAATTCTAGTGGTAAAACAAGTAATTACAGAAAACTCATTTCTACTATTGAAATAATCGTTGTCATTAAATAATGCGTAAAAGATTGGTGATAAAATATCATGTTTAAAAAAAGGCTCAATAATGATTTGATCGACCTAATCGACTCATTCATATTTTTTTCATAAGAATACGTTATTTACACCGATATTGTTTAATATGTTTGCGATGAAATTTCGATATTTTTATCCAAAAGCCGCTTTTCTACTTTTGGAAACTATGAAAATTATTTTGTAAAGAAAAAAATAAAAAGAAACACTTCTCAGATGTTAATATATGGTGATAAAACCATTTTAAATATTTATTATTTTTTTTGAAGTATTCCGTCGAACAGAGGTATTTGTTCATTTACATTGATGCACAATTGATTATTAATCACTTTTTATAAAAGATATAATGGAAGAAAAAAATCAATCTTCTTTTTTCTTGCATGAGAAAAATTATTCCTATTTACTATAAGTGTGATTATAGTAAAAAGTACTTTGTATCAATCTGACTGCATTTATTGTGATATTTAATAGTAAAACTTCAGTTTTCATATAGCACAGCATACAACTTTGACTATATGTCTTTTTGAGAATCTTTTAAGCATTTTCAAATACATATTCTGATATATTCTAATACTGGTGAAGTACTTTAACATATTGTTAAATATCTCAATATTTAAAATCTAAAAAACATTGAATTTGACTTATCGTTACCTCTGTTAGACGGTCGCAAAGACTGAAACTCTTTTCACTTTTAACTACAATTGTCTTTCAACTAAATATACTAGTGTGAATATATAAAAACACAAGTGTTCAATTAACTTTAACACAATAAATAGCTAAAATTATAATTCAAACGTGTTTAGGTGATAATAATTTGTAACCAAGCGATATACGAGTGTGAAAATGATTCGATGTTACACTCTTTATACCTGCTGCTGATGATAAAAGTGGAGGTAAACGGAAATCGTTCTGTTTTGAATATGAACGATCAGTTTTAAATGGACTTAAATCTGTATTAAAATGAACGCAAGACTTGATGATGAGAAAATATGAAGGAAAATTCTCAAGGTACTCTACCGCGTTGTGTTAATGATAGATGTTGTGCTTTTGACGATCTATTCTTTTCGTTATCATCATGCTCTTCTTCTATTGATGTCATAGCTTGATTTCCTATTCGGCTATTTAATCTAGTATAGAAAAAAAAATTTAATGATTTTCTGTTGATAATGAATATAAGAGAATGTTTATTATACCTAGGAAGAACACATAGTGAAGTTGATGGTGGCCGTTTTGCCTCTCGTTCTGACATGACTGAATCACATGTTTGAGGTCTCTAGAATTGTGCACTATAGACTAGAAAAAACAAAAAGTATATTTGGTTTCTGCTTACATTGCACATGTCTTCGAAAACTTTTCCACTTCCATCTACATTGTTAACAAAATCTTTGAAGAAACGCATTTTCACTTTTCCATCGCGTATTTGTAACTTTCCAATATGAGTAAATGTAAACTCAATATTTCTTTGTGCAGCCACTGAGCGATTAAATACTTGTAAAACATGTTTAACACATTGTTCTACTTGATCTCTTGAATACAAATGTTGACTTTGTATAGCAAAATAATTTAATGGATGAATTGGAATTGAGCCTATAATACATGTAGAATATTTAGTTTGCCAAAATAAAATTTGAAATCATTTTTACCATTAATCGGATATTTAGTGAACTTTAACCCATGTGTTTGAGCAAATTTTTCCGATATAGCAAATACTGGTCTTTGTATTAACAAATATTTGTTATTTCCAATATCTGTTCGTTTATGAATGAAACTGAATGTACCAAATCCAGGAATGGATACTCCCTATGATATATATACCAAAAAATATAAAGAGAAATAAACCTTGGCAATAGACATACTTTCGATTGTTTCATGTAATTATCGATATAATTCGACACAGCGGCCCATATCTGGACAACATCTAAGCAAATTATACATAGAATACTTAAATAGAGTATCCTTTTTATACTATAGAAAATATTGTTTTAAACAACTGGGAAAACAATATGTCGTCTATTCTCTTTTTGTGACTTATGTACGAATTAGGCATGCAACAGTTACGGTTAACTGTAACTGGTAAACTGTAGAACTGGAAAACGTTTAAGTGTATTGGTGCATATCTAGTACAAATTCGAGTAGTGCTAAATAGCACTAGATAGCAGCACTACATTCTGCATATCACCATATTTTTAAACACATAAACCTACAAGGAAAAAACTTCAACGGATGCACTCGAAACAGCGCTGATACGTAACCGTACGCGCTTTTACGTAACAAAACATTCCTTTCTGCAGAATCACCCAGAAAAGTGAAAAATAGTTGCGATAAATTCCAATTAATCTCACGAATAGTTTTTACCCTTCGAGAAAGTAAAATCTGTACAGAAATCCAATATGTTATGCTCTATTTTCACAAAAATTTTGTAAATTTTTTTGTCTTTTAAAATTCTAGGACGAAGTTCTACTACTAGATAATGATATCTATAACACTAGAGATATAAAAAACTCTAAAAACGAAAAATTTCTTAATTAGGTTAGTTAAAAATGTCATTTTAACATCTTTTAATGAAATCTTTTATGCTAAAAAAATGTCAGTACGCATAACTTAATACTCGTAAGCACTATTAAAAAATTATTTTAATAGTGCTCTTGGAAAACATTGAATAATTTTATAGTTTTTGCTTTGATCAGAAAATGTTCTTTGTATGTATGAAATTTAATTGTATGTCAATTCTTTCTGAGTACAAATTATATAAATTCTCAAAGTGAAGAATGTTGGGTCGTTTTTGGATGGGTAGAATAGCATGTTGAGTGTGTAGTAACAATAATGACTGTTGTGCAACGATTTTTTCTTTAGTTTAAAATTAAAAAGTATTTGTCTACACACTGTAATTCCTTTTCTTGTTCATATCACTTAAGGCGCGATTAAAAAACTTTGAAAAAATTTGTCAAGAGAAAATTCGAATATGTTTATTACTCGATGACATTTTAAGTTGTTGTTGATTTAAGCTTTTTAGCTAACATAAATGAAAAAATATCTCAAAGCAAATTGAATATTGCAAGTCGACAATTACAATATGTACTTATATGATCGATAGATTTTTTAGATGAAGTACGATTGTGTTCTCCATGTCTGAACGTTCTAACGCTTCAAACTGCCCAAGGAAAAATCTACCATGTGGCGCATGGATTTCAACAATATTCTTAGTTATTAGAAGTTATCTTTTATCACAAAATGAGTGGGATCGAACTTATTATCAAGATTAACAGAGAAAATTAACTATTCATAACACAATTCGACTGTATGAATCTATATCTACTATTTTTTCAACTTACCATCGTCATTGAGATTCACAAGTGAGGCGGCAGTTATCGTGTTTGAATTATTATTGGAAGGGCCATTAACATCATTTCTAAGAGCTTTCGATAACTTATTAATATTATCAGTCATAGCTCATTCTATAATTCAATATGTGCAACAAACATCATCTTCTATCAATAAAATATCTTAAACGAAAAATAATCAATAAGGAAATAACACAACGTACATCATTCCAACTGTCAGTTTTAATATCACTTCAAATTTGAATAACATTATGCTCGTACGAACTGTACTTCTATGCACTATTGTTGATCTTGGCAAGATAGCGTATTTAGAATTATAAGCAAGACTTTATTCTACTTACTCGATTCGAACGTAAAAATGTCTATTCAGTAAGTTTATTATTCTATATTCTCTCTTATTCTTTAAACATGAAGAGACATATGTTGAAATATTTTAAAGAAAATTAATCTCCCTCATTTACAGATGACTTAACTTGTTTTTTCATTCAGCATTCTATATTCATTTGCTAATCAATACGTGTTCTATTCACAACAAAGTTTTATCTCTTATAGATATGGACGATATCATAGCTTTGAACTATTACAGAAAAAAAAAAACAGGAGTCTTTTATCTCAAAGATGAACATATTCCAAAAACTTATTTAATGTAAAGAAAAGTTTCATTTATTTTTCAATTTTTGTCTAAAATCTCAGTGTTCCTTTTCAACTTCACAGAATCTTCCTGAAACATATGATAGTTTGTTTCATCATGTGGTTATACGTCATACAATCAAACCAAGAGAAACACATGAGGACAAAACTACGTTAACCCAATATTGATTCTTTTTTTCAGTCATAAACTGCACACTAAAGATAAAGAGTATAAAGATAAAATCTATACGTAATGAATTCAAATTCAAAATAGTTTTAAATTTGATTCAAAAAAGTGCGAGTCATTTTGTTATCACTACTCGTTTTGTTTTTTTTCTGTTGTAAAGGAATATGTTTGATTTACATTTCTCGTATAGTACACTATTTTTTCATCTCACTATACAAAGATATAAGAGTTTAAGAACTTTTATCAAGTGGACTTAGGGTGAAAAAATGAACGCTTTTTCTTAAAAATAATAACCGTTTTTCTCATCAATTTGAACATAATATATCAAAACAAAAGTGCAACAATATATCAGTCAATTTTTGCAGATGTCCTCACTTCCAGCGCCAGCCACGTAACAGTGGAGAGGGGCTACATTTTTTTTTCACACAAAATATTATGATGCTAGGAGAAAATTTTCTTATTTACGCTTAAATTCTATTCCATATGATAGTAGATGCTAACAAAAATGTATTTATCTGTCATGTTGATTCATTTTTCTCTAGAAAATGAATGATAACACATATTTGAATATATCAAGCTCAACTCTTTTTATAAAAGTTAAAAAAAGTCAATAAAGTATGATGTATCTAATTGAAATTTTAATTTAAATTAAAAAAATTTGGATATCTCAACGGATCATCACTCGTACAAATAACTACAAGGATTCTAAATTGTACAAATACTTGTTGGAATTGCAAATTCTAAGTGTAAAATTTCTACTTCGACATTGATTAAAATTAAATTTTTTATTAAAAACATTGCATCTACCTACTAATCGTTAAACATTCGATCTTTTACGCAACTTTCATGCGATAACTCTCAGTAATACTGGCCAGAGTTTTAAAAACTCTTGATTTTCTCTGTTGATATGGTTATAATCCACTTCTTGTACCTCTCTCACTCAAGGATAGCAGACTTTTATTTAGAATTACTTGATTAGAATAAATCTAAATATCAAACAGACCTTGGAATTATAGACATACCGTAAAGATAATGTGCATAGTCTCTATTAGCGACTATAAAAAACATCTCGAGTGATAGATATCTGATTAATTTTTGTTACGGTTGATGATTTAGACAATCACAGTCTCAAAAATTGTATTTCGAATAAAAATAAACAAAATCAATGCACTTAAAAACATTTTTATTTGCTTGCCTCTTAACATTGCCATCAATGCCATTCAAATAATCCTTTTCTATAAGTATCCGAGTGATGAATCGAATACACTTTAGTTACTGTCTGCATTGGTATGTCGCTGTCTCGACTAACTCATACTAAAGGGCCGTTCTACATGTTCATTGGTTTATTCTTGTCGTACAGCTATGTATGTGAAATGAAGATTGATCAATATGATCGTTATTTTTTTGTTTACTTATTTTTTTTATTTGACTACTAATAAGTCTTGTGTTCCGCTGGAGCTTTTTATGGTTTCGACAGCTTTTTTTATCTACAGATTATTCATTCAGGTTATTCACGAGTCCATACAAGCAATACCATTATACAAAGAAAGAGAGAGCAGGATATTTTTTAGCTGAAAGTATAAACATTACTAATCATACATGTTATTATCAGAAGCTCGTTTCATCAATATTCTCAAGTTCATGAATTTAACCACAAACTTAGAATTAGACGTTTAGTTAAATTTAAGAGTTATGTACTCAAGAATACTGATGATCTCCTGTGCTTTAAAGCGGAGCTTGAATTTTTCTTTGATACACGGTAAAAGTACAAGAGACGTACGGTCGCCATAGAAACAAAATTTTCTGAAACAGTTCTGCTGGGAAGAAACAGTTTTTTTGCTGCAGAGGTACGTGTGACGCATGTACCGCACAATATCTGGATTCCTCACTGCATCTAGATATTACACAATCCGTAACTTTTCCCACCCATACAGAAGCATTTTATCTAAAAATTCCTTTTAAATATAAAAATTCAATTTATTTTGTCATGCACTTGAGTTTGATTGCGCGACTTTAGGTATCTGGAAGGAAACTAAAACTTTTGGAGAGTGATAGATCTTACAAACCGATTGTCAGTATACGTGAATTATCATACGAGATGCTGTAACTCTTTTTCATAAGAGAGACATCTAAGAAAAATGCTTTTATAATGAAACAAATTTATTTCTAGTTGTTGTTTAGATTTAATCAATTATTCGTACTTGCGGCGGCAAAGAGGCAAACTGTGTTCTATTTTAAATTTTGATATTATAAAAGAAAATGTTAAACACGTCGGCTAATTGCTGTTGAATAACATAAACTTTTTCCCCAATCATTAATTGTTATTTGATCGAACTAAAGCGTCATTTTTGCCTATGACGTTTATTCTCCATCATATTTGAATGGAGGATAACAATGAAATTAAGGATAAACAACATAGTCTGCATGGTCAACTGCAGCAACATACGCAACCTCAATCGGTAGCATCGAATGTGCCAAGCGATGTTCGAACTGGACGCGGACCAGGACTTGCTACAAATATTAATAAAAATACTTTACAACCTGATAATGATACAAGTACAACAACAACATCAGCTCTTGTCAGCTCAGCAACCGGACCAAATGCCATGCTAATGGTTGGTCCGAATTTTCGAGTTGGAAAACGAATTGGAGCGGGTAATTTTGGAGAAATAAGACTAGGTGAGTATAAAAAGAAGAAATTGATTTATTGCAATAAACTTCTAAAAAAATATGTTATTTTTTTAGGAAAAAATCTGTACAATAGTGAACATGTAGCAATTAAACTTGTACGTATTTCTTCTTTGTTTTTATGATGTAAAAACAGGTGTTTTAATATTTTTCATTTAGGAGCCAATGAAATCACGCGCACCCCAATTACATCTTGAATATCGTTTTTACCGACAACTTGGCGCTGCAGGTACATTTTTTCTTAATATATTCAGTGATAGATTCAACTAATTATCGAAGTAGTTTCAGTATTTTTCATACTTTCTATTTGAAATTTTAGAAGGAATACCTCAAATTCATTATTTTGGACCTTGTGGTAAATATAATGCACTTGTGATAGAATTATTGGGACCAAGTTTAGAAGATTTATTTGACAATTGTGAAAGAAAATTTTCATTAAAAACAGTTTTGATGGTTGCTATTCAGTTGGTATGAATATGTGAGATGATACTTTTTGCATAATACATCATTCATTTTTTTTAAATTTTTTCCATCTAGATTACCAGAATGGAATATGTTCATTCAAAAAATCTTATTTATCGTGATGTAAAACCAGAAAATTTTTTAATTGGTAGAAGTTCAACACGAAAACAACATTTAATTCATATAATCGATTTTGGATTGGCAAAAGAATATATTGATCCAGAAACGGGAAGACATATACCATTTCGAGAACATAAAAGTTTAACGGGCACAGCAAGATATATGAGTATCAATACACATCTAGGAAAAGGTAATTTACTTGTAAGAATAATATGATTAGCATTTCATTTTGTATACATATTCAGACAACATCTGATGTTGATTTACTTTTATTCAAGGCAATAATGGACAGTTATAATAAATAGACCTACTGATGTTGTTTCTTATTTGTAAATGACATGATTTTATACAAAATAATTATTGACGTTTAATTCGTATTTTTTAGAACAAAGTCGTCGTGATGATCTTGAGGCACTGGGGCATATGTTTATGTATTTCTTGAGGGGAAGTTTGCCGTGGCAAGGTTTAAAAGCTGAAACATTGAAAGAACGGTATCAAAAGATTGGAGATACTAAACGAGCAACGCATATTGAAGTTTTATGTCAAAATCAACCAGGTATGAAAAGAGAATATTTTTTTGGGTTTAAAAATATACGGTATGTTATTTTTACTTTATAGAAGAATTTGGAAAATATTTAAAATATGTACGAAATTTGGATTTCTTTGAAACGCCCAATGTATGTGATCATTTCCAATCATTTTAACTTACTTGTAATATTATCATCTATTTTAGTATGAATATTTAAGAAAATTATTTAGAGATTTATTGGACACTCGTAATTTTACTTGTGATTGGAATTTTGACTGGGTAGAAAAAATGCAAAAATTACAAAGCAGAGTGAGTTATCTCATTAAGTACCTGTTTTTTGTCTGTTCTTCCCCATTATCGATATATCATTTGTTATGAACGTCAAAACTATCTTATCAAGGAAAAAAAACAAGAAATTTCAACATCGACACCAAAGTGGCCATTAACATCAAATAAATCTTGTCATCACATGCACCAACAGCAGCACAGACAAGTAAATTTTGCTGCTGTTGGAAATGTTTTTAATTTAAAATATGTGAATAATAATCAAGAACCATTTGATATAAAACTATTACAATCATTAGATGTTGAATACTATAATGCGCTTGTAAGATGACAATAATAAGTAGACTCTTTTCAGCTATTCTAATTTTTAGTTCATATTCTGCAATCTAATTATTTTTTAACACTGTTATGTGTTTTGAACGTTTGTTTCTTTAATTCTGTTTATTCTTCCTCTGTTTAGAGTACAGGAAATGCACAACTTTCTTATCCTCCAGATTTGTCTAGTCCTTTACAAAGACCACAGCCAAATAGGGTAAGGGTTCTATCTACCTTTTTTTATTTGTTTTTTTTCGTCTTCTCGTGCACTTGTCGTTTTACAATGTGCGCATCTATTGATATTGTAATGATAAATAAACATCTCTCTATATCTGATAGCAACAGACAGGCAAAAGTGTTGTTGGTACAGGGCTTGTTTTGCCAGCCAATCATCTATTGCACGGTTCATTACAGGTGAGAGAACGTAAAAAAATAAAACGTTGTTGTCCGTGTTGCCATGTATTGATCTCAGCTACTACTACCTCTCGTAAATGCTGTTGGACGTCTTCTGTTAGAATATAGATCTCTACTGCTAGCTATTGTTTCTTTTTTCTAGTTATAGTAGTACATTCTTGTCAAATCAGTAGTCTATTCTAGTACTTTATTCATTAGAAAATATTCTATCCTATCTTACATTCTATGTGGTTCAAGAGAGAAAAGAATTAGTAGAATTGTACAGTAGTTGTATACATTTGTTTATCGTTATATGTTCATTTATTTTTGCTTCTTAAAAAAAATATAAATGAAATTTTTGTAAAATAACGTAAAAATCGACTTAGTTCGTAGACACCTTTTATTTGTTATCTTTTTTATGTTTTCTTCGTGTTCAACGTCTAGTAGCTTTGTATTTTATAGTTAAAATGTATATTTTGTTTTTGTTGTTTACTAAACATACAATTTGATTCTATTCACTTGTTTATCTGTTGATATACTATCAATTCATTTGTTCTTCTTTTTTGTTGTAGGTCATAAATTCAACAGATCAAGGTGATGAACCCATTACGCATGATCACGCACCAATTACGCCATTATCACCCCCACTTGTTGATGTTGTTAGTGATACAAAGTAAGCTCTTATAATTTATTCTTATATTTATTTCGTAAATGTTGATTTCTTTCTTTGAATGAGGCACAATACTATAATAGGGATGGGACAGTTTCAATTCCTATAGTTTCTAAGAACTTGTAGCAATTCCCGTTCTTTCGAAAAAGAGCAAAGGACCAGTTCACGTTCAAAAAAACTGGACTGAAACTGTCTCCCCTATACTCTAAGCACATAATTGTTTTTCATTTAATCATCTATATAATCTGATTGGGTAGTATAGTTGGTAAATAGTAATCTTTCTTCTGTAGGTAATTCAGATTTTTACATAATTTTTCTTTGGTATTTTTTTTTTTTGATGTGGTGGTAGCTTTGGTGAAGGAACAAAACTTGTAGATTATGAAAACTCTTTTTTTGTTGTCTAATTTATCCGCTATCAACTTATTCTAGACATAAAAGTGTTGAATTGAAAATGTATAAAACTGATGATAATACAAGTGAAATGTAAGAGATATATAAAATAATGATACCACTATTTATAATACTCGCTCAATTTACCTTGTTTACTAATCCTTCTTTCTGAAAAAGGAATTTTAACATTAGTTTGTAGAAAGCTGTTTAACATAGAGGACTATTATTAGATATAATAAACTTTTTTAATTATACTGTATGTAAAAATTTATAATATTTAATCGGAATGCATAGTTTTTATCAACTAATCTAATAATACAAATTTATTATAAAACATTGAGTAATTGAATTACTTTTACTCTTTTAAAAATATTTAAAATGTATTGTGTAAAAGAATTAAAAATTTGAGAATTCTCATATTGCTATTTTACAGCCTGTTTTCTTGTTTATTTGTGAACATGGTACATTCTTATTCACATCGTTACTACCAACTGATAAAGTTAATAACCTTTTAAGAGGTTATTCTTGATTTTAAGTAGGAACATTGTATGAAAAGAGAGTAAAGGTGTTTGAGCGAGTACAATATACTGGTAGTTTTTTCTTTATTATGTCCGATTTTCGTTTCATTTTCTTCTATGTTATTTAGAGCTTCTAAAAAATGTTGTAGTTGGCTCAAGTACGTTTTTTTTTTCTTTTATTTTTTGCTACAAAATCAGTTTCTGCAAGTACGATACTTTTAAACGTTTTTATATTTTGAGAATATTTATTTAACGTTGCGCAAATAGTATCTGGTTTGTTAATTGAGAGATCTGCATGATTAGTATATTATCATAGAGAATAGTCTAATGTGGAGAAAAATGCAGTTGATAGAATGTGATCAACAATTGTTTTATATATTTATACTTCATTTAGATGTTGTTGTTTTTTTAATCGACGTACACGACATGCAAATAAACAGCCAAGAACATAGGTTTACTAATATTATTCTATGATTTTATTTTTAATTACATGAACAGTTCACAATAACTCAATTAAAATATGTACGTATTTTTTTTAAATTAATAAACCTGTATTGCGCTATTCTTTCTTCATTTTTTCGTTTCTAGAGGCCCGATCGTTATCTACACGTTTTCTCTTAATTTGTTACACATTCATTTTTTTTTTTTATGTCTATATATATCCGTACTCTCTACACAGTGAACACTAAAATTATTGTCCCAAAATTTTTTCTGTTGGCTTTTTTATACATGTATGCACACGCGCAAGCGTATAAAAAAAGATCTGGGCACGTATACGAAAAAAATAATTTCTTGTTTTCATTATAACTGTTGTTGTTGTTGTTGTTATTGTGTAAATGTAATTATATTTTTGAAGAAAAGAAAACAAAATTTGTTAAGAATTTTCTTTCTTTTTTTTTTTTTTATTATTTCATTTCGCATTTTTCTTCATTTTTTCTTTTTTTTATTAAAGTATTTTCTCTCTGTGTCTTTCTCTTCTAATATAATATATCGATGTGTATAAACAAATAATGTGTTGCTTGCTAAAAATAATAAACAATAGAAAAAAAAATGACTAAATCACCGTTGGGAAGGGTTAAATTTTGTTCGATTAAAACGTCCAAATACAGACAGTCTTTTCTAATTTGTTTTTCTATTGGTGTTGTTGTTGTGAAAACTCAAACGCTCATTCATTCCTCTTTATCTAATATACACAATGAATTTTTTAATATGCATGTGTGTGTGTGTGTGTGTGTGTGTTGTGTGTTAGTGTCAGTCAGTTTTCATTGAATGTAAACGACGATAATTAATCTAAAACATAACAACAGCAACAGCAAAATACATGTTTTTCTTTGTTATTGGTTTTTATCTGAACAGTTTTCTTTCCTTGTATTTTCCTCCTTCCTAATCATCGTTTTTTTCTGTTGGAAAAAAAACGCACAAATAAAAATAAAAATAAAAAAGATGTATGTTAGTTTTAGTATTCTTGAATGAAAAAGATGTGATATTTTCATTGAAGAAAATAGAATGACACGAAATAAAGCGTTTAGCCTGAGAAATAGTTTAATTATTGATCAATTTATATTTACACCGTTTCCTATCACATGAGAAAAATATTCATCGCATTAGTTCTTTTATTAGCAATATAAAGTGTGTCATATTTCTTTTACTAGTAGCAAACGTTATAGCAAAAAAACATCGCCAAGCATATGGATCATTCCTCGCTATAGACAGATAGGATTTTCTCTTCTTTATTATCTTTCTTAGAAGCTTAGCTTCATAATTGAAGAAATTTAGTCTTGTATAAAAAAAATTGACGTTTTCATTATGTTGTCTATTGCAATTTGAGTGACAAATACGCATGACAAAAATAAATAACAGAGTGACATTGAGATATGCTAAATTCTTTTCTTTTTTTTTCTTTATAATAAATTTAACGTCTTCTGTGGATATTTGTATGAATCAGAATTTTTGTATTTATTTAAATAATTTGCTTTTTTTTTACTATTATATTCTTTCGTTTTGTTCTCACTTATGTCGTTTACGCCTTGTTTCTGATCGTTTGTTTTTTTTGTTCTTTCGTTTCCAAAATTTTCATTTTGTTTGAGTTTTAATATAAAGACAAATATACAAAGATAAAGTAGATATACTTTGATAACATTTGAATACCATCGTAAATCAAGAATCTGTGCGGAATGGATGGCTATTGGAAAAACAGAGATATTTTTTGTTATCTGAAATTGTTTTTCAGTGTCAAAAAACTACAGTTGTTCTCTAAGTTTATTCAAATCGGACACTCACACAGCTCAAAACGGTAAAAGAACAAAAATCCGGCTTTATGTTGTTGGTTTTCTAACCAGCACACTCATGATTATGATGATTTCACCTCGCGTATTATTTGACTAATGGATAAGATCGTCCAACCACGTTTTTCAATATAGGTCTTCTTTTGTCCTCTGCCAATCGTCCCATTATAAAATTCGATGAAGACAGTTTATATTTTTATTGTCATTGTTGAAAATTATTCTGACTTAATAATATTTGATGAGTGAGCGTCCATCAAAAAAGACATTCTGATGGCGGAATCTTAAATAGACGTAATATCTATTTGAAATGTGAAAATCTTCTAAAAATCAATTTGTTTTGAGGAATGTAATAAATGAATATGAAAATACTTGAAAATAAAAAATAATTATTAAAAAAATCATAGTCAAATGTCAGTATGGCATGGTGCCCGAAATACGTTAATTTTTCATGTACGATCGTTCTACTTGGGAAAACTTTCCTGATGAAATCAAATATTATCGAAAATTACGGTAGTGAATTGATCTTTTGTCAGCTTTAACATCAGCTACAAAGATACGAAACATGCAATGAAATTGGATGTGAAAAACATACCAGTAGGTTATTCGTTTATTATATAATCAGAGCAGGAAACTATTGCTTCCGTTGAACCAGCTAATTGGTTGATGATTTTATTAATTCTTTTCATTCACTCTTAGAGTAAACTAATCTCATTACTAATTAATGTAATTTTTAAATATTTTAAATGACCATGTCATCTTTTAATCATTCTAATGATAAATATTTTCGTTACACTACTAGTACCTACGATTGAAATAGAAATTAATTTTATGCATTAAAATTTTAGGCTAAGGCTAAACAATCATCGTTGAATTCTTGGAACACATTCAAGATTTTTAATGCTATTTTTTGTGCCTATTAGCGGAAGTGATATGGCTCTCATAATGAATATTTATTATTTATATTTGACATTCTATGTCATTTTTTAGGATATTATACGTTCTACAACGCAAAGGAATTCTTATGTTCGAGTCTATGCGTATGAACATTAAAGATAACTCTTAGTCCTTGATCATACGAACGCGTATGATGGAATGAATGAATCATCCAGCATTTTTGAATACAAAAGCTGAAGGTATAGGTCTTTGGCTTCTGTTATCCGTCTAATATTTTTTTGTATTAATATTGATTATTTCTTCACATGGTTTCAGCAATATGACTTCAATGATGTAATCAGATCACCTACCTTACGATGTGTGATTTAATTAATAAAGACATTTTTACCATTAACAATGATTAAGGAGATGATGGATGTAATAAAATTTGTCGTCGAATGATTACAGTTATTTAGTCAATGGCTATAATTTGTCTACAATATTATCTGGTCGATTATCGAGTCTTAGTAAAAAATACAGAAGCTTTTCGGTGTTATTTTATTTGGTGATATATCTATGTAAATAAGTTAATGTGAATAAAACTTGAAGCAAAAGATAAACTGATTTATTTTTTAAATTATATGCATCTGTTTATTGTATCATTTTGATAAATTATAGTTGTTTTTCTATATAGTAGTAGAAGACTGAAATATTTTGACAATCAAATATTATTTACAAAATGTTTTCTCATAACAAAAAAGAAAATTATTATAATCTGAAAGAAAAAACATCTGTATATCATTTTATAAGCAATTTCATTCATCGACCTTTTTTTCGATTTGGCGGTTTATGAGAAAGATATCCTAAGGCGAAAAACATTCTTTCTTGCTAACGTTTTTTTTGACTTCTTGTCTCTTTTTCAGTGCACTTCTTTCAAATGTCTATAGGCATGTGAGGAAGTGTCTATCAACTATAATGATATTCGATGTAAAGTTCATTCATATGATAAATTTTCATTTCAATCATTACCTTTTTTACTGATCCGGATAATTCAATGTTCCAAATTTGTAAATTAAGCTCAATAAAAACTCTCAAGAGAGATATTTAACAGTGACGACTTTCATAATAGGGAGTATAAACATCTAACTACATTAACAGGGAAAATACATTAATTCAACAATCGGGTTTTTTTGTTTTGTTTGCATTAAAATGTAGTAGAAACATGTCTTTTTAATCGTGAATCAGTTTGATCAGATAATTCATTATCGTTACTATCTAGTGACTCGATCGATTGATTAAACGTTTTTCTTTTGTGATGTTTTTGAAATATTCGACGTATATACGAAAATATATTTAAACGATTATGTTTACTGTTATGATGGCGAAAGCCGCCTTCTAACATTTTTAAACGTTCAGTTCTTTCATTTTGATTACTAGGAGTTAAATCGACACCAATGCTACTTGCTCGATGTTTATTGTTACTGTTTGCTTGAATTTGTTCGATGTTTTCCTCTGTAGGTGATGTAAAGATACCACCTTCAATAGTATGCGAATGAAGTTTACTTTAAATATAAAAAAACAAAAAAACCATTAATTGAACTAGAATTAGATAACTAGCGTAAAAGAAATACAACACTGCTACGAGAGAGTCTGCTATTAAGAGTAACCGTTAATGTGAAAATACAAAAACATACCAAAATATTGTGATGAACATTATAAATGACTTACCTAAGAAATCTTGGTTGAAGTGCACAAACGAATATGAATATACATATTCCCAGTATTGTAACAGCTGTAACCGTTATCAGAGTAATGGCAACAAAATCCATATTTTATTTTTGTTTGACAACATGAAGAAAAATAACAATTAGTATGTCAGGACGGTACATAGAATCGAGAATAATGTTTTATTATACTGTATTGACGTCTTTTGCTGTTAAATGTCAATTAGGCCATATCTTTTCCATATCGTTAGTTCGAATGAATCATGGCGTAAAAAAGACTTGGATGGTATTAATAGGGCCTTAGTATTCTTTACAACAGACATATCCACACACACACACACACATACACACATTTACACACACAGAAGAAACGACAGCGATTATTATTTGAACGTGCGTGTGATGTGATCATCGGTTTAAAAAAAAACAACTGTACAAGAAGGAACTTTTTTTGATTTTTTCTTGTTTCGGAAGCAGTTATGGCTGGAAAAGGAAACACGGGTGATCTTTTATTCGTTCTTCTTTGTAGTGTGTTTCTTGACACAATTCTACTATTCCATTCAAGCACATTATATATATATAATAGAATATTTTTTAGAACTCAAACATAGATATACAGAAACAATAAGAACAAAAAGAAAAGGAAACAAAAAATAGGACAGACTCGTAGTTCGATGAACAGTAGTTTTTTTGTCACAATAATTAAAGTAAAAGTAGAAAATAATAAATCATTCAAGAATAGTGTTTTACTCATTAAAATGCAAAAATTATATATACTTTTCACTCATATTAATCTTGAATTAGGAAAGAAATAATTATCACAAGTTGTTGAAAGCTCACTTCAAGTTTCAATGTAAATCGTTCGAAAATAACCTTTTAGAAAGAGTCAATATTCTTAGGCATGCATCAGTTAGATAACTGGTATCAGCATATCCAGAAAAATTGTTATAACACGGTTATTAAATATCGCTCAGACTTGCGGAACGTCTCATTTTGTAGACAAATGTTTGCTCTATCTACTTGTTGAAACAAAAATATTTTAAGTTAATTATAACAAAAATATGAGTATTCTTAAATGCCATGACTGTATGCGATAACTGGTCACCAGTTATAAAGTTGTTCGTGCCTCTACAATAATTTGTTAGAAAAGCTTCTTACTTTTAGCCTTTAATTTTATCTTTCGTATAAATATATAGAAAATTATACAGGATGCCTCCTGTATCCCAAAGAGTCGAAAATCATTGATTCGTATAACTTGTGCATACCTAGTCAGAACAAACGCTTGTTTCTAAACCACGAATTTATTACTGATTAATGTATTTTTAAACGTTTGAAAGACATGACAATTTTATATTACTAATGTTGTATTCTGCTTTATTTATAAATAAATGATGCGTCGTCGTAGAACTATGCAAAATCATCTTCATGTAATTGACGAATTTTTTGTATCTTGTTTCCGGAATCGAATACACATTTTTCATCTGAATATTTGATATACAAACAATATTATGGTAGAGTGTTAATCCCGTTTTGCTCATTAGGACGCTTCAAAAGACGAGATTGAAAAATCCTAAAGAAATCAGTCCCTTCTCAAATTCTTTTTTTTTATACTGCAGATCGATAGAGAATTCAATGTTGTGCAGATCTGCATACTTTCAAACTCTAAACAAAGGTTTGTTGTATAAAAAGATTGTCAGCTTTTTAGCTAATCTTTTAGTTTCGTTGAAACGAGGGAACAAAAAGTTTACGAAAAGTATTTTATTTTCTACATGATCTGGTAGAGCTCGCTGAGCTGATCAAGAATACATGTAAGAGAGTAGTTAGAAAACAAAAGAAATGACTGTCTGAGTCAAATATAGCCTTTTCATCGCTTGTTATTGACATCTTCAGCGAAACAATGAATTTTTTTCTGTGATGCAACTCTGATGACAAATCTTTTTGTTGTAGTTGATAGCGCGTGAAAAATTCTACAAAAATATGTATAAATGATTGATTTATAAGTTTGTACTTGTAATGAAAGTTTTCAATCAGACACAATATGTAAGTTTCATTAAAATTTGCTGCTATGGGATCTCTAGAGAACTCGAACTATCAGAAACTAACTCCTTGCGTTCAATAGAAAACTTTTTGCACACAGCTTCTTTGCTGTTTTAGATAGCAAGTAGCGCGAGCAATCTTTCAGTTGATGTTGTTTTCCATTCCGTTATTAGTGACAGCAGAATTGGATTGAACCTCTTCTTGTATTAGTCACATTAAAATAGCGCTGTAGTCTCCATATTCAGCGTTTCAGTCACGAGTATCACTTTTCCAATGTAGTACGTTTGAATTCTAAAAAATGCGTAGAAGACTATCATTTTTCTTATTCATTATTGTTTAATTGACTAATTTTTTCCACTCAAATTAACATACTGATTTTTGTGTATAGGTGAATGTCTTATTAGGACTAGATATTTAGTTGGTGTGAGTATTTTCGGTAAGGTCATTTTTTTGTGTCAAGGTCAAGAACTATAGGATTAAAATAGAGATGTGCGGTACACCCTTATCCTACCCTACCCTATACTTCAAGATAAGGCTGAATGAGGGCTCAATAACAGCTACTTTGCACATTTTTAAACTAAAGATTGGAAACAACCAGATTCGATACAGAACTCCAGAAATCTCGGCTAATCCTGAATGGGAAGTGGAAGCGTGAGTGCTGAGAGCCAGTACAATTCTAGAACAGTGTAAATGTAGTGTAATAGATTAATTCTCAGACAACATAAACAGTTACATAGAAAAAAATAATTGTAAAAAAAAGTGTTTTCTTTCTAAAATTCTTCAATTTGTGTACTATGTCACCTAAATGGCATTTGATCATGAGAACAGCTGAAAAAACGCAACTGTTTTTAGTTTCGTAAAGTTTTTTTCCTTTCCGGCGTCTTCAAACTCCTTTTTTTGATACATAGTCTGATGGAGCAAAGTGTTCTGTTCATAACGAGGCGTCTTCCGAAAATTTCCATTGGTTTTTCTCAGAGATATGAGTGTCACCGCACATGCCCTAGAAAAAGTGACCTGTCTAATATTATTTGTAACGTCTGATATACTGCTGCTGACAATCTGGATACGTCGTGATAATCAAAAATTTCATTGAATTAGTCCAGATATTTTACCACAGATACCTGGGACAATATCTTAAACCGATAGTTTTTCTGTCTCGCTTTTGTCTTTTGAGATATTGAGTTTTCAAAATCAAAAGTCTAGGTAACGTTATACTTTTACTCTTTTTCTCTCATCTCGAGACTAGAATCAGAAACGAAAATGAAAAACTACCGTTCTGAGATACTGTACAGGGAAAAGGAAGTCTTTAGCATCCTCAAATTTAACTTTTAGTTGTAAATAATATGAGTAAGAGATGTAAACGAGTACGACTTTTTGTACACGCGTACAAAGACTTTATATTCGTACCCATCCAGCGGCTGGATATGAACTGTTCGTACATCCGTAGACTATAATTAATGAAAGACAACGATTTAGATATTTTCAGGTTATGTTCAACTCGTCATTCACCGATGCTTGTTAGTGACTGTTATTGGTATATCCATTTGAGAAGATCAGTTTTTATACCGCCTCCGTTAATGGTATGTTACGTCGAACCGTTCGTCTACAACGTCTGGCTATTTATTCAGTCATTTTATGGATTTCTAAGTAGTGTCTAAGACCAGATGATAAAGATGCCGCTAGTCATCATTTTCCACTTACTATAATATTACGGTAAATGAGTTTTTAGAAGAATTTAATATGACCTGGACTACCGAACGTTCCAGGAATATTGCTGTTTTAAGTTGTTACATAAAATCATCAAATAATGATGATCATACTTAATATAGGTTATTGACTTTCTTTATCCTGAAAAAGCATAAAAACATCCATCTTCTCTAACATAATGTGTTGCTAACTACTTTTGAAAGCCGTTCTTATCATAGTATAGGGAAAACTTTTCTTTCTAAGTGATTGCGTCTTTAACAATAATACGTACATTGATATATGTAATATCGATAAAAAGAAAAACAATTCAAAAAGCTCTTCAGCAGAAGAAATAAAACGTTGAGTATTAAATACGATCACAACATATCCTGATGCTTTTCTGGGTGTATCCAGTAGTTAAGAAATTTTCAATAGCTTTCTTTTTCTCAAAACATTATCAGAAACCCACATGAATATATAATACTGCTATAAATAGTAAATCTGTTTGTAAGGATAAGAATAAGTATCCAAATGTTACATAAACTATAACGAATGGAGAAAATCACTATCAATCATACGAACATACGATCCTTCATTAATGTCATTTTATCTTCTATTTTCACTATTTATTAATAATTATTTCACTCTTGAACTTTCTATCCTATAAGTACGCCCACAGTGAGCAATTTTGGCTTATGATGCAGATATGTGCTATAACTTCTTAAAAAAAGCATTTGGGAGTTTAGAAAGACACATTTTTCTAGGTTTTTATATATGCTCCTTCTAATGGTTTAAATAAAAAAAATTTGAAGTGCTTTTTTCGTGGTATTCCAGAGACTACCTTCTAGAAAATCTTACCGTTCGATGCGGACATCAGAGTTTTTTTCATCAAGTGGGCGTACGTCCACTCTGATCTACTCTCGATCTCAAAATAGAATGGGCGCAGATGCTTTTTTGAATGGCACGAGGCGAAAATCTGTGACTTTCAGTCTTCGATTTTATAGAGAACGCCGAGATATGTCGATTTATGAAACAGTAAAAAGCGGAAATGTCACTTGCATGTGGGGTGCTTGATAAGGCTTCGATCCTTGATAATGACAGCATAGTAGCATCGAACCATCGGAGCGTTGTCCGTCCACATATTCACACAAATTCAACATCGTTATTTGTCGTTCAGATGAAGATATAGAAGACCCAGAACTTCGCCTTGGTCACCTTCTATAACATTTCACTACGTTATTATACTTTTCTTGCAAGTAAACATTGC